ATGATCTTTTGAAATTTTCAAAGGTATATATGTTTTGCCTCCGAATCCCCTATAAAAAATTTACCTATATTCTTCCACCATAGTGAGCGGTCCTCTTAGTGCAGACGTGGCAATGGCAACTTTTTGTCTTTCAGGCATAGGGTATAGCTGGAAATGATTTTCTAGGCCTTCTAAAAATATCGCCACCGGATTTTTTCCGTCGAAATTGACGTTTGGCTTGATTGATGCTCTCATCGTCTGAACCAGGTATCCAAATCCTTCTAATTGGTTCGCCATTTCTTGTTGTTGGACTTGTACAGGAGCTTCCATACAGTTTTCGACCATTTCAGTTCGTAAAGTGTTCGGGCGCCAATGTCGTGTTGCGTGGCCCCAACTTGCCCGCAACAGTAGTAGTCACTGCTATGAACTAGAAATTACACAAACTCTTAAAAAGGGTTTAACTAACTTTTTATTCCACTTTAGAAGTTACAGATGACAGACACTTGACGCTCACAAACTACGCCGACCCGGCGGGTTTTAATAAAAATAGAAAAAGTACAACTAAAAATAAATAACAGGATGACTAAATAACGAGGTCACTACCTACGAGGCTCTATAAACGTGACTAACTTAACCGCGTTCTAAGATACAGCTGAGATTTCAGCAAACTTTTGAATAAAAGTTGATGTGAAAGATTAACTAACTGCTAAGTAGGCACACAGGCCGAAACGCGCGGTTCTTAAATTTCTACCTAGCAACCTTCACGCTCGTGAATCAAGAAAGCACATCTACAAACTCGTTTCCCTTCTATTTAACTCAAATTACTCTGCTAAAAATTTGAATACTCTGCACGTTCTACTAAAATTTACATACTCTGGCATTGGCAATTCCAGGGGAAAGTAAAGGCTTGAGAGGAAAGTTATAAAATAAAGAAAATAAATGTTAGTTAAAATAAATATAAACCCTACAGGATAATAGATTAAATCACACCTAAAGCTACTTTAATTAAGTCAATAAAGTTTTAATCTTCAAGTCATACTTAGCTCTACTCGAAAATACCTTACCTTAATTCTGCACAGTAAAATATCATCCGTTTAAAAATTTCTAATTCTAAATTCACTAATAAAATTTACAAGCTTGTTTAATATTCCTTAAATATCCTTACTCTTGAAAGTAAATTTAATCTTATTCCTGCCCCCAAAAATTTTCCTCCCCGTTAAATTCCACTATTTTTACCCTCTTCTTAAGCCACGTTAGCTCTAAGCTCTTCCCTTTAACTCCTCTTCCAAAATTTCTCCGTCTTTCCTACAGTTAATTTATCTCGCGGTTCTTAACGCCTTCAAAAAGTTGCTCCAGTTATTTCCACAGTGAGAAACCCTCGCGGTTCGCCACGGGTGGTTGGAGAACTTTTCTCCTCTAATGAATAGACTGACTCCCCCCTTACGCCTTCATGGAGGTAGGAAAGGTTACTTCCTACCTCCATGTACGCCTTTCGCTCTTCCCTCCCTGGATTCAAGTCATGGAGGTAGGAAAGGAAGGAGGGGCCAATCGACACTAGAAGTGAAGCATTGCTTTGAAGCTTCGGTCACCAGATGCGGTGTTCTTTGTTTACATTCAGAAGCTGGCTTGACAGGATTCTGATAGTATTTCGACACACGACAGTTCCATATAAATCGAAAAAGGGACACTTTCGCATGAAAGAAACATTCATAGTGTGATGGATAATAGCAATTTGTATAGTTTAGTGACATTTACGCGAAAATCACATCTTGGTTATTTTTCGATAACTAACAACAGCGATTTTGATTATGAATTTGTTTTGTAAAATTATAAGCTGTTGCACTACAAAAATATAGATTTTAAGAAAAGTGTTATGCTTAAAGAATGAAAAATACCTTACGGTACATTTAAAATTGTATACGTCTTTCGATACCCTTGATAGAGTATTTGCTACTTTTATTTTATTTTCCAAACGTCAAAATGTTTTAAATAAAACAAATTTTTTTCACATCCATATATTATTGTTGCATATTATTGCAAAAACCATGTATCTGCCTTTGACAAAATAACATAAATATTCATTAAATTATTTATAAATGTATTTGAAATGAAGAATTTATTCACTTATAAACAACTGTGAAAGTACTGTGAAGAAATCTAATTATTAAATGTATCTAAATGTTATCTATATATAACCTTAATATGAATTGTAAACATATAAATTGAAATCCTTTTGACAAATACGTTATAAAACTATTTAAGCAAGAATTGTTCGTATTGGAAAGCAATCTGTTAAAAGGTATTGTAAAGCAAATGCTATGAGATGCGCACTTAAAAACGTAATAAAGAGTTTTGGAATGTGTATTGTTGAAATGAAGGGTAAAAAAAAATCTGATAAGTATAATTAAAAGAATTATTCCCCTTACATTTAATAATAACTCAGTTACAAGTTTTAAATAATACTTCAAAAAAAAAAAAAAAAAAACTTATTTTATTCCCTTTCAGAAATGTTCAGAGAAAGTCAAGTTACTATTTAAAGTTTCGCTAATTCTAATAATTCTCTAATTTAAAATGAACCGAATAGAGCATTAATTATAAATTGACTTACATTTTCGATTTAAAAGATGCCTCAGAAGCCAAAAAATCATGTCATATTTAAGAAAGTATTTTAGGAAGAAGCTCTATAAATAGAAAAGAAATAATGCATAATTTTAATATTAATTAATACAATAAACTTTGATCTTAATTTTGTACCAAAACCGAAATAAAATCGAATTAGCTTAATTTTTTTTTCTAATGTAATTAACGAAAACTTGTGAAAATATTTCATTCAAATTAAACCATTTCTGAGAAAACTGTCTGTGAAAAGTATAGCATTTAATTCCGTTCAGAATGAAATGTTGTTTAAAAATATGTTGTTTTCACATACTTAGGACTCTGAAGTGTTGTAGAAAAAGAAAATATATACATTTATATGTATATTTACGACGTAATTACGAAATATTTACATGCGAACGCGTCAAATCCCATTGAACTCAATGGTAAATGACTCAATGTTTTGGTCAACCACGTAGGGATCGCCGGTGCTTCAGAGCAGGGTACGGGAGAAACTTGTTTAGCGCGACTCCATCTTACTTCCTACCTCCATGATTCAAGTTTAGTCGCAAGACTGCTTCCCCCCCCCCCCGCTGATATAAAAGCCGTAATTGAGAACGATAATTTTTTTTCCCGAAATTACTCCATATTTGAAACGTTTTGCAAGAAATGTATAACAGGTACGAGAAAGAGGAGTAAACTCTTTCTCGTACTACGAACTGAGTGAGTGACTACGAACTGAGAGGTTTTCCTCCTTATAAAAGGAGGAAAACCTCTCAGTTTGTAGTCAGTTATTTTAGTTAGCTTGTTGTTTTATGTTTTAGAGTTTGTTTAGAAAACTGCTCTTGTTGATTGTGGCGAATTCGCGGATTAGCTTTCTTTATCTGTTTTGAATTAAGTTCTGTTGAACTTTTGAGTACTTGAAAGATAACTACTGTGAGATATTGTAATACTGAAAGAATATCTGAGGGAATTTAAGCATTTTTATTGTGATAATAATAAAATTTTGTCCATTTTTCATCGGACTTGTGCATGCAATTCAAACGAACCCGTACGCACGCAAGAATAAATAAATAAATTGGAGTGTATTTTTATTTTAATACTAGCTGGGGTATGCGGCTTGGGAGTTGATATGAGATTGTGTCTTAGCTGGAATAAAAGGATAAATTTTAAAATATAAGAGGTAAAATTTTTTTATTGAAAACATATTCTATTTACAATACTTGTTTATAAACAACATTTTTTTGTTTTGTTATCCAGGTTTTTTTTTTTTTTTTTTTTTTATATGTACAAGCTTTTCGAATTTCCTACTTGAAAGCAAGCTGACCGTGAGAAAAGCAGGAGTCTTTGAGTTTGATGCCGCAGTGTTTTAAAGTTTGTCCTTGTGCTTTGTTAATTGTAGAACTATAGGCTAATTTCATTCAGCTTTGATAATGTTATTAGATAGCTGTTTGATGACTACCCTTGCTCCATTACATAGTTTTGGTGACATACATACTTACATGTTAACTGATTTTAATAATCTATCTTTAAGATTTTTATTGAGAATTCCACTTACTGTTCTATGTCTTATTAAACTATCTTTTAATTCTGCAAATCCACAGTTACTGCTTAATTTCTTTAAATCTGGCCCACCAGCTGCCGAGCGGTAAAGTCGCTGAGCACTGGTAGTTCGGTCCCAGGTTCGAATCCCGCGAACAATAGCTGCAATAGCGTTTTTGTGGTTTTCCCCATGTGTAACGTGTATACGAGCCAGTTTTCCTTAGAAAGTCCTCCACGAAGGCATCCCTCCCCTTAGGCAGGTAGCCCTAGTTTGCTTTGCCGTAATTAAATAAACCAACCAAATTCTTTAAATCTGTTAAAAAAATTATCAAAGGATTCACCTACATGTTGTGTTCGACAGAAAAATGTGTATCAACACTTTCGTTTGCTTTCGGTATGCAATAATTTTCGAAAGCTTCAATTAATTTGTTAACATCCTTCTTATCTTCTTCACTTAAATTAAAAGTATTAAAATTTTTCAGTGTTTATTCACCAATAATATGCAATAAAATAACTACTTTAATTTCAGGTGATTTATTAATACCACCGGTGATTCACCGGTTTCAGGTGATTTAGTAGTAATATTTAGTAATACCAGACGCTAACATGTAAATCTGCAATTTTTGTTTCCACTTCTTACAATATCTTTAAGGCTATTCGCAAGTGACGCTGTATGGTTCTTTAAACAAGTTTTTTTTTATTTATTTTAAAATTATTTTTAAACCTATTACCCGCTGCGGCTGTATAAATTAATGGTAACGCCATTTTATGCCATTTAGGTGTATGAAAGATTTTACAGAAACGCTTTATTCTCATGAAGCTGCGGAAACCTGTAATTGTGATTAATTATTTTTAAAACTTGTTCACTTATTATATAAATTTAAACTTTCAATACTTTTTGTTATTTTACAGATACAGTCTGAAGCCAAATGATGCAATTCTTGCCGAAGAAAAACACATACCTATGTAAGGCAAATTAGCTATACTTTTTCCATGTATAATAAATGTGAGAATTATATAACTCGCATATTGTTTGCCAAATTAAAGCATTTTATATTGTATTATTTCATTATTTGACAAAAATATTTTTAGATGATTTCTGTCGTCTTACAGTGTGCAAAGTTTTTTAAAACTTTTTAAAAAAAATTTATTCATTACGTTTATTTATATTGGCTGTTTTTACTTTCATTATTCAGAAATTGTTTAAAAACACGTGTGTTTATGCGGATAAATTTTTGAAAGTTTCATGTATTAATTGTTTCAAATTAGGGTGCTACTTTGGTAGACGGTTGCAGGGATTTTTTTGGCGATTTACTTTGGCACGGTTTTTACAATCGTCAGCCATCTTGAAAAAGGCTGTTTTTCTGTATCTTACACATAGCAAAGTATTATTCGAAATTTAAAAAAAATTAATATCGTTAAAAATAATGGATTAATTTTTTTTTGGTGAAAACATTGTTTTTAAGTTGGAAGGTAAATCTAAACAAATACATTTACTACCAGTACAGTCAAGAGTAGTTAATCCGGACTCGTCAGGACTTCGGTGATTCCGGACGATTTTTCCAGATTATAGATCATCAGTTTAAATCTAGTAAGATGGCATGCAGAAATTATAAAATAAAAAATATGAAACCGTAATTTATGAAATAACGACCATTATATTTAAAGGTACAAATTACAAAAAAAGAAAGCTAAATTTTTTGTTTCCTTTATAACATTTCTTTAATGTAAGTGTTTAAGTTGTTCATTTTTTATGTGATAATACATTCTCTTTAATTCTATAAACAGACATAATCTTGTTTCAGTTACAAGTCTGCTGTTCAATCCTAAATTGCAGTGTCGAGAATACCAACTATTTGTCAATCGAATTTTTTAGTTGTCAATAACCTCTTCACTTTCTTCGCTATCGGAAGCGAAGTATAATGACAGGATTTGATTTAAATATATCAAGACGGCGAAATCGAATGAATATATTAGTAAGGAATTATAAGCCAAATAAATAAAACATCAGCCTGAGATAGGATGTGCTGACAGATCAACTTCAATTCATTGCGCGCTGCGGCCGTAAAGTTTTTTTTAAAGTTTATATAAAAAAAGATAGCCTTTATCCATTTTTTGAGCAATTTCACTTTTGTTTAATGGACTTCGAACATACTTCGCTTGTAGTCCTTTAATATTAGTAAATATATATCAAACTTCTATTACATAATCGAAGTTCAAGCTTACTTTTATAAAATTGCTCTAACGTCTGCAAAAATAATAGCCGAACCAATCAAAGATTAAGGAACAACGCAATCTGCAACGTAACTGAATAGGTAATTTTTATACCATTTTATACGTTAAACGCGCATTAGTAAAGTATTTGCGGCCCGACGACACGCTATTCCGCAGTCGTAAAGTCTACGGCATGCATCACGCGCAAGTTTGTAGCTTCGAGGGTCCGGATTATAGATGATTCCAGATTTGGTGTCCGAATAATGCTTTGACTGTGTAAAATACTGAAGTAAAATTAATTATTACTCATATGCAAAGAAATAGATAAAAACAAATAAAAAAACTGCGCCAACGTTTAATTGACAAAATATTACTAAATGAATATCAAATTACAAACAACATATCAATGTTTAAAAGAATAAATATTACTTAATACAATACTTAAAATAGTAAATAGACACTAGAGCAAAATGATAGCAAGTAGAAGTTATGCCATAAAAGGAGATGTCTAATATTTTTTTTTTTTTACATTACAAAAGCAGTTATTTCGTCCACATGACACAAACCACATACTGCCTCCTCAGATAGGCCCTTTAATGATCTCATCTGTATCCACATTTCTCGCACTTCATTGAGAAGCAATTAGCGAGGTTCCTCCAAAATTTTAAATGAATTCCCTCTGCCCCTTGTAACAATTATAATCAGTTCATTAGAAGCCAGGTTGCAAAATAGCTCTCAAAAGAAAAATTGATTCCGATACCAATAATCTTGTACTTACTAAAAATTATCTTTGAAAGGGACACATACGTTGCTAGAAATCTAAGGATTTGAAGAGATGAATATAAATTTTAAAAGGCCCGGACATTGCACAAATATTCTGTAACAATCAGGAGTTGATACACTAGTTAATGCCAAAATATCCTTAGCCACCCAGGGAGCTGATACATCACACAAGAATTAAAATATTAAATAACCCATACATAATAAAATCTCAAAAAATCAAAATTAATTTTAGCTTTATTTAAAACCGTAATATGTTAAAACATTATTAAATTTATAGATATAACAATTATTTTAAAGTAAGATGACGTCATATTACCCATCCGAACATAAAATTATATAAATATCATAAACAATAAAATTTTATTTAAAAGAAAAATGCAAATTAATGATTTTAAATTAGAAGCCAAATAAATTTAAAACAAGATTATGCATAATAATATTTTTAAATAAAAAATAACAAGGTATCGGTTACCATAAATACCTTGTCCGGCATTGGGTTTACCATAAGTCGTATCGCTCGCCAAAATCCATGCAACCGTCTACCAAAGTAGAGCACAAGTTAGTAATAAGTGTATAGTTCCCTCCCTCCCAAATTGAAATTTGGTGGTTACTATAACTAAATTTATGAGAATATGCCTGTAACATTACTGTTGAAGCTGCTTTTGCATAAAGAATATGTTGTTGATGGTACATCAAATTTGGTGTGCTACTGTGTGCTCTAACTACACGGATGGACAATAGCTAAAGACGGGTGGCAGTAGCAATGATAGCAACCACAAAATGGAAGGCAGGAAAATCTGAAAATTAGCATTAGTGCAGGATACAGAAAGCTGTATTGTGTATATGCGAGTTTTGGATTGCCTGAGTTGTTTGTCACGTGATGCGCTGATAAAAGAGATAAAGGATTTGACATGTTGACCTTTGCTGTTCAAAAGCAAACTTGAATGGATGTTGGCAAGGTTGAAGAAAAGCGAAAAATAATATGTTGCTAAGGTGTTTGACTTTAGTCGCAGTGTTGTTTTAAGTTTGGAAATCATTTAAAACAAACAGAATGTGTAGCAAACATTACAGAGGAGATTGTGTTCACAATGTGAGATAGGTATATAGTGCTATCGACAGAAAGAACTGACACAGTACAATTATTGATATAGCAAATTAGTTACTTGCTGCTGCTACTGGCAAGCAAATCTCTGAGAAAACTGTAGCCAGATCAAGGAGGACTATATGCCTGCTGTGTGCTTTTCCTTATCCAGACAGCAATGTAGCACGTGTTTGCAGTAGTATTGCGAGATCGTAATTAGACTCGCTAGAACTGGGCTTGAGTACTATTCTTAAATGAGAGTAGGTTGAGCCTGTTACCAGATTATAGACCCAACTGATCTAGCATGGATTAGTATAGCTTATTGTCCAGAAAATGTCTAGGAAAGGACCAGAATCTGAAATGCAACATCGTGGTATAGGCCAGCAACATGTTCAAATGGCCATACGTCCCTACATGTAGTTATAACAGGGACTATGACTGGCCATTAATATATTAATGATGTTCTGCTGCCTCATGTTTGCATGTTCAGTGGTGTTGTCAGTAATAAATTTGTTTTCATGGATGACAATATATCATTAAACAGTTGCTGTCCAGGAGTGTCTAGAGAGTGAAGATATTCAACACCTCATATGGCCAGCATGTGTTCCAGATCTGAATCCTGTTGAAAATGTTTGTGATGCTTTGTGGAAGAGTATTATTGGTCAATAATGTTCTCTAATAAGCCTCTAATAAGCTCTGTCAGTGCACTCTCATCCGTGCACTGACAGAGGAATGGGATAAAGTACCCACAACAGCTGTTGGATAATGTTGTGCAAAGTATGATATGCCATGTAGAATCTTACATTGCTCTCCATGGTGACCATCCATTGACATCTTACGCTGGAATGCCTGTGACGGTAATTGCATTTTTTTTTCTTTTCACTTTTATGTATTCAGCACAACATGACCATTTTGTTCCTTGAAAATATATAAGTATGGTATAAGAAACAAAGAGCTTGCTGACATTGCTGCTAAATCTGCTGATGTACTTATACAGACATCATAAAATATTTGAAGCAACAGATTTTTCAAAAATAGCAACAACATTGGAAGTCAAAAATAAATAACAATTGCATGTGAAACTTGAAATCAAGTGTTAGGTCATAAGTAAAAACTGAAGAAATGACTTCCATCTGACATGCTTACAAATTGGTCACTTCCAGGTTAGCTATCAGTGCCTGCTAAAAAGGGAAATTGTATTGCAACTTTATCTGTAATTCGTATTTTAATTGACTCTCCTAATTTTAAATCTCTTGGGGTGAACCATTTTGGCTTGTTCACTTACCTATCTCTCTTTCAATAAATTGGAATCAATCCTTATTTTAATCTGTTTTGCTTTTTAAAAGGTACAATTTTTTGCTAGAAAATATAAAACTTGAAATGATCGTTATGTTTTTAACAACTGTAAAGCATTTTTAACACTTTACAAATTTTATTTTAGTACAAAAATTGTTGCTAATTTCTATACCAGGATATAAATTTCTCGGTACTATTCCGTTTTGAGGACCGTAAAAAATCGCCAAACTGTTGTTGATGCTAGTGCTGCCAAAAATAATTGCGGCAAACCTAACTCAAATGTATAATAGTAAATAACTATCTAAAGATTATTGTTTTAATTTAGATGAAAAGTTATTTTCATATAATACTTTTTATTATTATAATTTATATGAAAAAGGTTAAACATAACTGAATGGAAGCATAGAGTAAATAACTATTTCAGATCATTTTTAAATTTCAAAAAAAAAAGCTAATATAACAGAAGGATCCTCCTTGATTTTGCTACCGAGTTAAACAACGAGATGCTGTTGTGGTTGTTCAAACATATTTCTATATGAATGCCGTCTTTTTTGAAACATTCTCGTGCGAATCGCCCCCTATTGTTGGCGCT